GTCTGGCCTCGGCGATGTAGAGGTCAGTGCGCCATACTACAACTGCACCTCCCTTGTCTGTGTTTTCTCTCCATTTTTATCTTAAGTGGTTAATACATTTGTTGTTCTCCTGTTCTTTGGCAGACATCCAACACAACGCTTATTTCTTGAGATTCTACTACTTATTTAACCAAATCCAAACACTGGTGCATACACCCTTCTGAAAATCAATAAAACCTTTTGGCACCTGTTCTTGTTTGATAGAAGCCTTTCATTCATTTGAAGACACTTTTGATCAGTGATAGTCCCAGAAACAACCCCAAGTGATACTCATTTCCAACTACTGTGAGGTTTTATCTGTTTTTCAGATTCACCATTTCCTTCATCTGGCTAGTTTTTAATTGAAGTTGCTACCATTCCCTTTTTTGTCTCTTCTGTAGTTACATTGTCAAGGGATTTCTGGAGAAAAAAATAGCGAGCGATTGTACGTCTTGTGAGTTTGTAGTATGTATTCCTCACCACAGTGTGGCACCAAACTTCTAACTATTGTATCAGTGGAAGAATTTCAAATCCCAACATTCAACAATGCTCATTCTGGAGATGTAACCTTGATATTGAATAGGTATAAACTTAACATATGAAACTTCGGTCGAATTTCAATCACGACTCACCCATGCTGAGTGAAAATGGATCATTTACTGTTTTTGTTCTAGAACTTAGTTATTCTTGGGGCGTAGTCAGCCTGAGAAGCATTTTGGTGTTCCATCTATTGTAATCATGTTTGGGTCTGGTTATCCCTTTTCATTAGTGACATAACTTCTGGACTGCTCCCCTATGAAGCCTTTCAGGAAAAATAGACACAAACTATATGGCAGTCAGAGTGCGACTGTCATCTCCAAAATTTACCCATTAAACTGAATGCTGATCCTGTGCTGTTTGGTTTGTGATGGTATCTGACCCTGATCGTAGTGTTTCATTTTTTCCAGATATTTCCAGGCAGGGGGTTCTCCGGAACATGTGATCCAGATGCTTTCTGAGAATTATACAGCAGTAGCACAGACTGTAAACCTGTTGGCAGAGTGGCTGATTCAGACAGGTAATGGCTGGCCTGCACTGGATAATCTAACAAAGCTGAACAAAACAAGTTGCATATATTTGATGTATTGAAGACAACTTGCTCATCGCTTTTTGTGGAGGATATCAGGTTCTTTCAGCTGTGGCTCCGAGTGTGCTGTGCTAAGCCTTGGTGCTCTCAGAAGCTGTCACTGGTATTGAAGAGAGGTTCAGTTTCAGCCCTCCTCTGAGGTTCTCTCCCACACAAATGTGAATTAGAGGCAGTTTCTGGTTTTTAACCTCGCCCTGGTTGGAATGCACCTTGAGTTGACATTTCAGAACTATTTCACCCTTTGGTAAGCTTCCTGTACCTCATTCAAATGGCCATTCTTCCTCATGGTCGGCAGACCAATTGAACATAGAGGGGAAAATAGTCCGCACTAATTCCATTCTCGTCCTTTGAACACATGCACCTTTAGCAGCATTTACTAATTAGTGATCAGGACTTGGGATCCTAACAGGTTTTTACTCTCCTTGACCTGTTGGAAGGAACTGAAGCGAAAGAGAGAGGTCCAACCACCCAACTCTCTGAGAGGTGGCTGGAGCTGGTAGGGATGTCCTCTGGCTTTATTCTTTTTGACTCACTGATCTGGATTGTGAGGTCCAAATCCTTTGGTCAGGTTGAGTTAAGTTGTATCCAAAGTCTTCGAATTTTAGTGAACTGGACTTGTTCTCTCATCACTATTTGTAGCAATGCTGAGTTATGTTGCTAAAGCACAGCTGCGTTCCTGAGATCTATTGCAATTTGTATCTCTTTCAGGGGTTGAGCCATCACATGTTCAAGAGACTGTTGAAAATCATTTGAAAAATTTGCTGATCAAACACTTTGATCCTCGGAAAGCTGATTCCATATTCACAGAGGAAGGAGAGGTAATGTTCTGAAGCTTTTCCAAAAGTAGGCTGTGTATTTGTAGTAAATTACATACAAGAGAATGGTTCAAAGAGGAAAAAAAAACCACAACAGACCCTTTGCATCAGTTGGTGAATCTGAATTCTATGGTGTAGTTTTAAGGCTTTATCTAAATACAGATGCTGGAGCCTCTTCCCAGCTCTGCCATTCTGTATGTGGCCATAAAGGAGTTCCTAGTTGCATTGCATCGTGTTACCCCACTTTCTCACTCATTCCATGTAGATAGACTTGTGTGATAGCCTCAGCTCATTCACTGAGCACTTGTCTTTGGCACTGAATATGCAGGAATCCAGGACTTTGCGTCATTGGAAGTTAAGTAATTTAATTGATGATGTTGAGACTTGGAAGTGGATTAACAAAAATATTCCTGACATATTTTCTACTATGGCAAAGATTAATCTGAATTTAAATGGCATTCTGACATACATGGTATTTTCTAAGGCTGAGAGTTTTCTGTGTAGTTTTCTTTCTCCGCCATTTATTATGTAACAGCCTGTCATTGCTCTCAAGTGTAACTTTCAGCTGAGGTAGGTTGGGAGAACAGGAAATTATTTGCACAAGGTGCTCAAATGTAATTCAGTCTCGTAAAGTCACACGATGTATTTCCATTCTTAATCGTTTTGCCCACATTTGTAATAGAAGTTGCCAGTTTAAAGTTTGCGTGTTGTAATTTCATGCTCCTGGTAGAGGTGGGATGCAGTACGTCTCTTGGTGGAATAGCGTAATTTGGCAGATTTGTGTGATTAGCTATTTCTTATACTTTGAGAACTTGAGTAATGTTGGACCACACCACCAAATGATGTGAATCAGCTGATCAATGGTCCTGAATATTCCACTGGAGTTATTTAGTCTAAGCCTGGAAAATACTGTGTTGCTGGAGTGTAAAATCCCAATGTAGGAGATCAGATGCTATTAATTATGGCTGCCATATTCTATCTGAGCATACACAGATGCACCCATGATGTCATGCCATCAGGAAGTGATTTATAAACAAGGAACAAGAGTAGGCCACTCTGCCCTTTGAGGCCTACTCTGCCATTCAATAAGATCATGGCTGATCTGATTTTAATCTTAGCTCTACGTTCTTGCATACCCTACAATAATGTTTCACCCCTCTGGTAATCAGGAATCAATCTATCTCTGCCTGAAAAGTATTTAAAGACAGATTTTTTTGATCAGTAAGGGATTCAGTGGTTATAGGAAAAAGTAGGGAAGTGGAATTGAGCATTATTAGATCAGCCATGATCTCATTGAATGATGGAACAGGCTCGTTGGGCCGAATGTCCTATTTCTTCTACTATGATTCAAGAAGTACTAACTTGGCTGCATTGTGGACATCTTAAGGTTGTGCTATATATTTGTAAGTTTCCAATCACCTTTGTGTTGTGTTTGTGCAACCCATGCATGTCCTGTTTGATTGTCCATCAGACCTGGCTTCTGGCAGTCATTTAAGCAGAATGACGCATGGAGTTGCCACCATAGTTGCTGATTTGCACTGAATGGCTTAACTGTCAAGAATTCTGTTTTGTTTCAGACCCCAGCCTGGTTGGAGCAGATGATTGCTCATGTGACTTGGAGAGACCTCTTCTACAAACTAGCAGAAGCTCACCCTGACTGTTTGATGCTGAACTTTACTGTTAAGGTACAGCCATTCTTGTACTGATGTTCATGCTACTTACAACACAGCAACAATGCATCTATATTTGTTCTCTCAGTTGCTCTTTGTAGTAGTCAGTTCTACTTTCAAAACATTCTCTGGGTAAAGATGTTCCTCCTGAATTTCTTTGGACTTTCTGGTGATTATATTTTATCTATAGTCCTAGTTTTAGACTACCCAAAGAGCAATGAGAGAGACACAAAAATTAGGAGCATGAGTAAATATAAAGACGTAAAAATTAAGAGTAGGTGTAGGCCACCTCCTAGGTAGTAACTCATTCCCTGAAGCCTACAAGACACAAGTGAGGAGTGTGATGGAATATTCTCCACTTGTCTGAATGAGTGTAGCTCCCATAACGCTGAAGAATCTAGATACTATCTGGGACAAAGCAGCCTGCCTGATTGGCATCACATCCAGAAACATTGACGCCCTCCACTGCCGATGTATAGTAGCAGCAGCATGCACCATAGAAATTCACCAAGGCTTTTTGGATACACCTTCCAAAACCTACGACTACTACCATCTTGAACAACAGGGCCAGCAGATAAATGGGAATACCACCCCCTGCAAGTTTCCAAAACACTCACCATCCTGACTTGGAAATATATTGCTGGTTCCTTTAGTGTCGTTGGACCAAGATCCTGGAACTCCTTCCCCAGCACCATTTCATGTCTACCTACACCAAATGGACTGCTGCAATTCAAGAAGGAATCTCACCACCACCTTTTCAAGGGCAACGATGTCTGGTCGATGACTACTGGCCCAGCTAGCAATGCTTGCATTCATTAATACATTTTTTTAAAAATACGTGGTTAGATAGAGAGTAAAAATATTATGTCACCACTCCCAGGATAGATACAGTACAGCGTTAGCTGCAGAGCAAAGCCTCCTATACACTGTCCCGCACGAACATTCACAGGACTGATACAGCGCAGAGTTAAATAGAAAGTAAAGTGCCCTCTACACTATCTCATTACCATTCCTAGGGCAGGTACAGCACTGGGTTAGAAACAGACTAAAGCTTTGAAATGTCCGGTTGGTGTGGCTTAGCCCTGAGCTGAAATGAGCATTGTAATATTTTTATTTAATATACAAATTATCCTGAACTGGATAAATAATTAAGACCAATTTGTAGATGTCTTTCGTATCAAAGATGTGTGAAATATAGGACTGTTTTTGATGGAAATTTTAGAATCCCTGCAGTGTGGTAACGGGCCATTTGGCCCAACAAGTCCACTCCAACCATGTAAAGAGCATCCCACCCAAGCCAATCCCCCTACCCAATCCCTGTAACCCTTCATTTCCCATGGCTAATGCATCTAACCTAGACATCCCTGAACACTATGGGTAATTTAGCATGGCCAACCCACCTAATCTGCATATCTTTGCACTGTGGGAGGAAACTGGAGCACCCAGTGGAAACCCACGCAGACATTGGGAGAATGTGCAAACTCAACACAGACAGTCGCCCGAGGGTGGAATCGAACCTGGGTCCCTGGCACTGTGATTCAGTAGTGCTAACCACCTAGCCATCATGTCACCCCAATATTTAAGCTTTCTGACCCTGGATTTAAAACTTACATCTCAAAATTTAGCGAGAAAGTAAAAGTATTGCTGAGCGTGATACAGCACTTCGACAATGTTTGACCCTCCACTTTTGTCTTTTCAGCCAATCTGTTTCATGCTGTAGTCAGAGTACTTGTAGCTTGCCTCAGCACCCACAAGATTGGAACAATGAGATAAACCTTCCAGAGTTCCTATTAGTATTCCATTATCCACTGATTCCTCATGTTAATGAGACAATGTCAAGCGAAGACACAGTTGGGCTCAGCTTTTCCATGCAGTCAGGATAGCCAGCTGAAATTCACTGTCTTGTCAGATATATGGAAGTGGCAACTTGAAAGGGAAAGAGAACACTTGTTTAAACTGTAGCCCAGCAAGAGAGAGTATATTTGGCAGAGGAGGTTGAGGAAGGAACTGGTATCAAAGCTTTTATTTTGTCTAATCCTAAGATTGCAGGAATAGTTTGGTCTAAATTTATTCCTGCTGTAGCTAGCTGCTAGTCACCAGGTCATCCAAGATTAGAGGAGGAGGACTGACTGTCTTTGGTGTCTTCAAATAGTACTTCAAGGATTCTGCTGAAGGTGTTGACTGATATCCTTTCCTGCTGTCTCTTTGTCTTACTACAGCTGATCTCAGATGCTGGATATCAGGGTGAAATAACCAGTGTGTCGACAGCCTGTCAGCAGTTGGAAGTTTTTTCCCGTGTTCTCCGCACCTCGCTTGCCACGCTTATTGATGGGGGTGAAGAACATCTAGAGAAAAACCTGCCTGAGTTTGCAGTGAGTGTGACGTGACAGCTAACCGATGTTGTTTTGCAGTTATGTTCTTTTGGGGAATGGAAGCAATGATACTGAACCCTCTGTTACACAAAACAAAAACAAAATGTGGATATGTGATGATTTTGAAAGGTCGTGTCCTAAATGGCAAGAAGAATGATTCGGTCCTTTTCTCCTCTGCACTATCCTTTGCAGGCTTTCAATCCCAGTGAAGTATCTCCCCTACCTTTACTTTAAAATTCCTTACTAAACTGCCAGTGTCACTCGTGTTTCCTTTTGGTGACCTATATATTCATCAAATGTAATTTATCTTCTCCCGCTGAGACATGTGAACAAACTAACTCTCACACTGTTTCTTACTGAACCTGAAGAAAAGTTGAGTCTTTTTTCAAGTGATGTCTGTTTGGACTATTAACACAGCTTAAGGCTTCTTTCCAGCAACTGTCCTTCAGCTGGTACGAATCTTTCTTCTGTCCATCCGCCTCTGCAGCTCATAATGGTCCTAATTAATAAACACCCCAGCCATTAGCTTACTAGATAGCTTATCTAGTTATTGAGCTTAAGTCTCATGATTTTATGGAACAGCTATCTTTAGCTCAGTGTTTCAAATTACTTTCTGACTCTTTTTAAAAAGAGGACATTTGTAACATCGAAAACCAAAAACCCACTTATCTCTACTTTGGAAAGCAAGTTACGAAATGATAATTCATCATTCTCAAGCTTCCTCTCAGTCCTAGCACGTTGCACAGGCAACTATTCTTCATGAATGAGCTTGGATTATTACTATAAGCAGGCAGTTTGCAGCAAGCGCAGCATTAACACTTAGGTTCTTGTGTAAGGCATTTTCAGCAATCCTGTGCTTTGTATATTCCTCAGAAAATGGTATGTCATGGAGAGCATACATACCTGTATGCTCAGTCTGTAATGTCTGTCTTGGCCCAGGAGGAACAAGGTGGAGCAGCTGTCCGACGAATTGCGCAGGAAGTTCAGAGATATGCACATGAGAAGTAAGTACATTAGAAATCCTAGAAATCTTTGGGAAATTTCCCAAAGACTCTTTTTGTTCAGATATGTGCTGAAAATTCTTTCCTCACTGATTTACTATCCCATTATTCCTAAAATGCTAAGGGTACAGTTTGATGGGCACAGGTCAGCGTGGTCGCTCAGTGGTTAGCGGTGCTCCATCATAGCACCAGGGACCCGGGTTCGATTCCGCTCTTGGGCAAATGTCTGTGTGGAGTTTGCACATTCTCCCCGTGTCTGGGTGTGTTTCCTCCCACAATGCAAAGATATGCAGGTTAGGTGGGTTGGCCATGCTAAGTTGCCCATAGTGTCCAGGGATGTGCTGGCTAGGTGGGTTAGGTATGGGAATTGCAGGTTAATAGGAGTAGGGTTGGGGGGTAAGTCTGGGTGGGATGTTCTTTAGAGGGTCGGTATGGACATGATGGGCCAAATGGCCTGCTTCCATACTGTAGGGATTCTATGATTCAGGTCATCTTGCATTCCTTACACCATGCAGCACAGGTGATATGTTATCATGGACATTGAGTCTAGTTCTTGCTCAACATTCCTACAGTATCACTGTCATGGAGCAATAGGGCATGCATTGAGGGATAGACAATTTAGCTTCTTGAGCCTGTTACCCATTCATTGAGATCACAGCAGATCTGCACTGTTAGTCCATATACTCATCTTTTCCCCACATTCCTTAAGAGCTTTGACAAAACTTATCAATCCCAGATTTAAATCTAACAACTGATCCAGCATCAGAAATATTCGAACTTTGACTGCTGAAATGATGTAGGAGTGTTTCCTATTTTTACTCCTGAAAAGTCTGGCTCTAACTTTTAGATAATGGCACCTAGTTCTAGACTCCCAACCAGTGAAAATAGTTTCTCTAAAGAAACCTCCCTGCAGTAATGAAACCTTCAATCAACCCTCCCTTTTACCTTGAAATTCTAGTTACCATGTCTGCAGTTTGTACAATAAAAATCAGAAAATTTTGGAGTTACTCAGCAGACCTAGCACTATCTGGAGAGAGGAAGAGTTAATGTTTCAGGTTGTTGACCTTTCAGCCACAAATGTTTCTTGACCTGCTGAGTATTACCAGCAAATTCAGTTTTTATTGCACATTTGCAACACTTGAAGTATTTTGCTGTTGCATTCGTGCTTACTTTCTATAATCACTGCTCAAAACTAAATTTTAGAAACCAGGTATGATTACAATCAATCTGCATTTTATTCCCTCCAGGCCTATACGAATCAGTAAAAACCAAAAGAACTGTGGATGCTGTAAATCAGGAACAAAAACAAAGTTGCTGGAAAAGCTCAGTAGGTCTGGCAGCATCTGAGGAAGGGTCACCGGACCCGAACCGTTAACTCTGTTTTCTCCTCCACAGAGGCTGCCAGACCTGCTGAGCTTTTCCAGCAACTTCGTTTTTGTTCCTATACTAATCAGTGATGCCCAGACCATTCTCCGTATTCAATGTGAGATTTAAGTAGGGTTTTGTATACCTGAATCATGACTTCCATTGTTTTATATCCTCGATATCAAGATATTTTTTCTTTCTGCTGTGATATTTTGATGATCTATGTACCTAGACATCCACATATTTTCAGACCTCCACTGGTCTTGTTTTTTGGGTTGTGAGTATTAGCTGCACAATCCTACTTTCCTTTGAGAACAATTCAGAGTCAACCATACTGTTGAGAGCCTGATTTTGTTTCCTAAAGGATCTTAGAAAACTGAGAAGAGTTGTTAGAATGATCGACAGTATTCCAGATTTATTGATTGAACTTAAATTCTACCAGCTGCTGTGATGGGATTTGAAACCTCCTCAGAGCAGTAGCCTAGGTCTCTGAATTACTAGTCCAGTGGCGTTATTACTGCACCACTATCTCTTCCTGGTGTGGTATTTTCCCATTTATAAAGTACTGTGTGTCCTTCTTAGGTCCAAAGTGAATACCTCACATTTCCTATGCTGACATTCATTTGCCATTGTTCAGCTCACTCAATTAATCTATTGATAAATCCCCATCTTACAATCCCAGCTATCAAAGCGTCAACAGGAAATTTTGATCCACGATTTTCTATCCCATCAATTAAGTCATAAATCAATTTGGATATAATTGAGGCCTCAACACAGTTCCTCGTGAGATAATGCTAATCACTTTCTTCCAGTTAGAGTTCTTGCCTGTTATCCTTTCTCTCTGCTTCATTCCACTCAGCCATTTTTTGAACCATGTCAAGAACTTGCCTTTATGAACAAGAGCTTGCCTTTACAAACAAGAGCTTTAGCTTTAGCTAGCAGTCTGTTATGAGGCACAATATCAAGTGTCCTGTAGAAGTTCATATGAATAATACACACAGATATTCACCTGGCCACTATTTCAGTTAACTCTTCAAAAAATTCAGTCAGCTTTGTCAACTACAACCTACCCTTTAGATTTCCTTTGAGCTCAGAATTTTCAAGGTATTCAGTCTCTAAGGTTAGTTATAAAACAGACAGTTTTCTGACAGGAGCAGTATTAGTGATTTATAATTCCCTGCTTTCCCTCTCTTGGCTTTCAGCTATTCGAGATTGATAAATAGTGATAAAGTACAGGGATCATGGCTGTCAAATTCTTTCGCCATTCTCCCTCCACACATGTTCCACCACTACAGTATAGTCTAGAGCGAGACCATCGTATTGGTGGTCCCAGGGCCATCCAGTCCCTGGCGACAACCCCTGAATTTCCTGGTTTTGGCAAGTATTATGTTAATTGGTCCTTGTTACCTGCTACTGTCATAGTAGACTACCGTTAGAATTGCAAGTGAACTGATGGAAGTAGTTCTGTGAGTTATTTAAACAGAAGCAGTCAGATGGGAGTGAGTAGTGTATTGAAACCTGCACTTGCTGTTTTGCTTTTCCTCTCTCTTCGGCTCCTTTTCTCTGGGTTACTGTTCAAACAACCAGCTTTGGAAATGTGAAAACTCCTTTCTTGTTTCTCTCAAACCCAAAAATCATACTCTTCCCACATTTCTCAGAGGTGCTGATTGTTGCTGGGATACGGTTTCATTGACATTGGCCTCCCTCCAGAACCCCAGAACCTGTTAGTCTCTGTTCAACAGACTTAGTTATGAGGAATCTGATTCGAGTCTGTCATCAGTCAATATCCATGGAAATACATTTTCCAGCAGGAATTATTTGAAATAGATAAGTGAGAGAGAGAGACTTATATTCGTATAGCACTTTTTATGACTGCATGATGCCTCAAGGCATTTGACAGCCAAAAAAGTATTTCAAATTATTGTTGCTGTTGTAATGTAAGAAATATGGCAAGCTTCCACAAGTGGAGGTGTGATAGTCTCTTCTTCTTTCTCTTTTTCTTTTGTTGATTGAGGCTTAAGTATTGGCCAGGGAGAATTCACCTGCTCTACTTCAAAATAGAAAAGAGCTGATGACATTATCTGCCTGAGGGGCTAGATGAGGTCTTGTTTTAACGTTCACCTGAATGTTAGCATTTCCAACAGTTCAGAACTTCCTCAGTACTGCACTGGAATGGCAGCCTTGATTTTTGACCTCAAGTCCTGAAGGAGGACTTTAATCAGAACTATCTGAGTGATGTGAATTTGCTTCCAACTGAATTGAGGATGACACTGAGAAATGCAAATGCTGCCTGATGTTTTCCTCTGTAACCCTGGATATGAGGCCGATTGTCCCACTGCAAACAGGATCAGCAGACCCAGCATAGTTATGGGATCGCCCTACCCACCATGATACCACACCCAATCCCTTGTTGTTTGGTAACTTCAAACACACATTCTCAGCTTTTTGCACAGTCTTTCTTTTGTGATGTTGGAAAAAGTAATTATCTTTGTGCTGCCTTCTCTCAGAGGTCATGATGCCAGCCAGATCACCTTAGCGCTGGGCACTGCTGCATCCTACCCCCGAGCCTGCCAGGCACTGGGTGCCATGCTGTCTAAGGGAGCTCTGAATCCTGCTGACATCACTGTCTTATACAAAATGTTCACGAGTATGGATCCACCTCCTGTGGAACTGGTAAGAATAGCACTGAAAACTTGCACATATTTAATTTCTCAAGTAATTTCTCTCGTGTCTTGTCTTGAGCCCAGATATGGTTCCAGGAGCTTGCATCCCCCAGGGAGGCCTGTGTAGTGAGCTATTCAATTGTGTGATGCACCATAGCTAATCTTAGTACTGTCCACATTTGTGCAGTTTCTAGCAGGAGACACTGAATCCCATTCTTGTCCAAGAAACCTGTTTGGTTTGTTTAATTTTACGGAGTGTGCGTTGCTGAAGTCAAAATGGCTAGCAAAAATGGCCACCATCTACTCACTGCAAATGCCATAGCAGACCATAGCAGAGCTTTCTTTGCCAGGATGACTTGCATATGATGTCTTCAGTGAAGGAAACCTTTCTCCCAATTCTACCGTCTATTCCAACTACAGTCAAAAGTCAGCAATGGGATTGGGCATATATTTGAAAAGCTCACCATTTACATATCAGTTTTGGGCAACTCAGATATAGGGTACAGGGTAGCAATGGCCTCATGGTATTATTGCTGGATGATTAATCCAGAGATGCAACTAATGTTTGGTGTCCTGGGTTCAAATCCTGCCTTGGGGCAGGTGGTGAAATTTGAATTCAATTCCAGTCTGGAGGAAAGAGTCTGATAATGACCATGAAGACATTGCTGATTGTCAGGAAAAACCCATCTGGTTGACTAATGTCCTTCCAGGGAAGGAAACCTGCCATCCTTACCTGGTCTGTAACTCCAGACCCACAACAATGTGATTGACTTAACTGCCCTCTGGGCGATAAGGGATGGGTGGTAAATGCTGGTCTAGCCAGTGATGCCCTCATCCCATAAATGAAAAACAAAGATAATTGAGATAAAACAAAGATCTGCAGATGGTGGAAATCTGATACAAAAACAGATGTTGCTGGAGGAACTGAGCAAGTCTGGCAGCATCAATGGAGAGAAAGTACAGTTAATATTTTGAGTCAAGTGATCCTTCTTCAGACTTGATAGTAGTTAGGAAAAGGTGGTATATATGCTGAGGATCAGGGGTAAAGGAGTGAGCAGATAGGTGGAGATGAAGCCTAGAGAGAGACAAAAGGATGGATTGTACTATGCCCAGGAAGGGAAAAAAAGGCTTATAGTGGGGATAAACATGTAGGTGAAAATGGGTTGGCTGTGCTGAAAATAGCCCATGACATGACATGACATGACATGACAGGGCCTGGGTGCGGGGGTGGGTAAAGGACATAGAAGAAGGTGTTCAAGATCTAAAATTATTTAATTCAGTGTGAGTCCTGAAGGCTGCAGGGTCCCCAAGTGGAAAATGAGATGTTGTTCTTCCAGCTTGTGCTGAATCTCGCTGGAGCATTGCAGCAAGAATGACAGAAATATTGGCCAGGGAAGACAGTTGTGTATTGAAGTGGTAGGCAACTTGAAGTTCATTTTTGTAGACGGAATGTGGACAAAACGGTTGCCCAGTCTGCATTGATGTTTAAGATATCACTTTCAGTTGGGTCATGTTGACCTGACCTAGTTAAAGGCACACAAAGACAGGAGTATAGGGTGCCTGAAATTATAAAGTAGATTCAGTTCATCATTAAGACACTGATGCATTACTGTAAATTTCTAAAGAAGGGATTAAAAATTAAAATAAGATGCTAGAAGTAAACAAACAGAAAGATGAGCTTTTCCAGAGTTCCCAGTGAAAGTTTTTCAATGTTCCAGCTTTGCAGTTTTGCAGTTTTGTCTTTGTATTATCAAAGTGAAGTGTGGTATTCGTATGATTGAAAATGTTCACAGAAAGATTACATTACCACAGAATATTGAAACGATCTTGTTTGTATTATAATAAAAACAACTTGTCCTACATCAAGAGCATTTTGTAATTATCTTCTTTGTTTTCTTGATTTTTACAAGCTGTTTTTACATTCCTGGCTACTCTCATTGGGAACACTTTGTTATGCCATGCTGTAGGGATGTTCCAATTGATTTGAGTGGTTTGTCTCCAGCCTACAGTGCGAATATATGGGCACTGCATCTCTGTTCCAGGCAGCTGCTGTTCCATACCCTTGCAGTGACGTGGCACTACAAACCCATGTTTCTGCATGGTTTCTGTGCCACTAGGTGATACATTTGACAATAAATTAAGCCTTTGTTTTAACTCTTCGTATTCCAAGTATCTCATTTATTGAACTCCTTTAACAGCATTAGGCAAAAAATCTGACATGATACTACATTGGATACCATCAGGGGAGTTATCCTTAAAGAAATAGAATTTTACTTATGTTTTGTATGTGCAAATATCTCTGACAAAGTTTGAAAATATGTGTCTCAAACTGTGACCAGAAATCCTATTCTGATTATTTTTGATTTTTGATTATTCATTACCTCCCTGAAAAATGTGCTTTCATACCCAGGCATGTCTAAATCTAACTTGATCCTTTGTGTCTCCTTTTAGATCAGAGTCCCTGCCTTCCTGGATCTTTTCATGCAATCCCTCTTCAAACCAGGCTCTAAAATCAACCCTGAGCATAAACACAAGTACATCTACATCCTGGCCTATGCAGCCAGTGTGGTGGAGTCATGGAAAAAGGTCAGCTCTATATTTCATATCTCTGATATCAGTTGGAATGATGCCTTCAGGACTCAGTACATTCATGTAATAATATGCATTATGTCAGCAGACAGAACGTTTATGCAGTAGTGCATAGACTGTTCTTTGCACATATCTAATTCATGAACAAGTTAAAAGGAAGACCTGATGATTGGTTATTGAATTCTACAACCTCTCTTCCATCACAACCTTTTTTATCTCTTCCTATTTTGTCTTTGTTATGTGGGTTGTTATTCCTTTAAGTTTTTCTTGCGTTTTCCATCTGTACTTATTTCCAAGTGCATTCAACTGAGGTCAGGCCTCGGCCCATTCCCAGTCTTCTATCCAACATCGTTCCTTCCTCAGATTTTAAAACTGGCAAACTCCTGATCTCTCAATAATTGGCATCACCAATTCCCAATTTACTTCATCTCTTGTACTCCAACAGAACTGGGCAAAAGAGGAAAAATGAATGAATAAAGGTCGTTGTTTTCAGGATGTAGCTAGCCACTGCTAAGACAGATAGTGCCTTGGCAGTAGAACGGAAGCAGCAAGGAAAGGACATTGCTAAGAAGTTTGTCGTGGGCAATCTGCAATTAATAGCAAAATTACCTCCATATTATATGTTTATGTATCGTGTCTGGCAGCCTATCACAACTCGGACATCATCTTTAATGCAAAACAGCCTTCAAACAGGAAGTTCAATTGTTGAACTAGAGTGAAACGTTTTCCAAACAATTTACTGACTTCCAAGTGACTTGAGAGCAATTTAAAAACAGGAGTGAAGAATGAGCTAGCAGCTAAACATCACCATGGTGTTTCGGACTATCCATACCTAAATTCTTGGGAAATCTACTAATTTATTTAAGAAAGCGTAGATTTGTTTGTTTTAACCGATTATGATCTGACATGATTTTGCAGAAAAAGTGGGAGATCAAGATGTTAGAGTAGATTCACTGGCAGAAAAAACAAATTTGAATTTTTTTATTTGTTGGCAACAAATACTTGGGGGAGTGCAGATCAATTGATATTAAAGCTGCATTTCTTTGGGGAGACCAGCTGAAGATGGAACTATTTCTTTGTCCTCCAAAAGAGGCAGCAAATTCAGTGAAGACACTCTGGGAATTAAATAAATGTGTATATGGCCGAAATAATGTTTCCAGCTTGGTATTTCTCAGTAAGATCTGTTTCATTAGAATTGGGTTGTCTTCAGTTAAAAGCAGACCCTGCCATTTTTATTGGCATCATAAGGGTGAGCTTTCAGTTCTGTTTATGTTGCATGTAAATGATTTTTTTTCGTGGGTAGGAGCAGTGAATTTGAAAACATTCTCAGAAATGAGCTTAAAATAGAATTCAAATTTGGAAATCAGGCTTTTGGGGTGTTTATGTGCATTGGATTGGAAATCAAGAAGAATGGATCAAGTGTCACTTGCATCAGCAACCTTGTTTGGAAAATGTTAGTCCCAGTGCTATTTGTAAAGTGGGGCTCTCAGAACTGAAATGGAGAAGTTGTGAAGTCTGAATTTTGTTTTAAATCACTCATGGGAGATGGGTGTTGCTGGATGGGCCAGCATTTATTGCCCATCCCTACTCACCTTCGAGAAGGTGGTGATGAGTTCCCTTCTTGAACTGCTCTAGTCCAGGTCAGTTGGACAGCTGAATTGATACTCAACAAGGCCAGATCCTAATTTTCAAGTATTATATTGGAGTACAACTATGAAAAATCTCAAGATGGAAAATTTATTTGGGTGTACAAAGCATTTTTAAAAAATGGAGTACTGTGATTTGAAATTTACATCATTGGGAGATGCCAGGAGCATGAAACTTCTTGTTTTCCTTCTTATGCTAATTATTGAGACGGTTTCTTGAGTACAAGGAGGATTTATATTTTTCTTTTGGGAAAGGGATGTAAACATAGCTGTTTAGCTTAGAAAACTAAAAAGATCAGAGGAGTCGTAAAAGGTCCCTTGGCGGGAGAGACTTTTGCTGTTGGTGAGGTGCTGGATATAACTTTTCTTTGTGAAAATATTGGAAGAGATTCTAAACAGGGAATTAGCGGCAATATCCATTAAGTGCTAAATGGATAATATGCTTCAAACAAAATTTTTGAATGAGAAAAGACCGAGGATCAGTACTGCAGTGTCAAAATAGATGGTGGAGAAAGCACCAAATTCTAGGAAATTGTTAGATATACTGGAGAAAAGATGCTTGGAAATTTAATGTGCATAGGGCAAATGGGAAAACAAAGAATGGGAATGTAATCTGCAGTCATGTCTGTTTTGCCTCTTTTTATCATCCAATATGGTGTGAAGGAATACCGGAGACCTAATGGAATGAGGGAATGGCTGATGGATAAATAGTTGAGTTTGAATTGGTTTTTGATAAAGAGAGGTCATAATCATTGGGATGTGATTTTAATGGGGTATAAATATAGCTCTCACATAAAAGTATGGACTTGAATTCTGTTTTAGCACAGTTGTCTTTTGGAATATAATATTTTTAAAAGAACAAATAAATTGAACTGATCAAATACCATGACATTTTGAGTATGAATTTAGAATTCTTCCACCCTGGAGTCAGAAGATCATACGTTCAAGTCCTACACCTGTACTTGAGCATGTAGTTTGACTGGCACTCCAATGCAGAGCTGAGGGATTTCTGCATCATCAGAGATGCCGTGTTTCACTTCTGACAGTAAACCTACTTCAGTGATCATGGTAACATTTTTGGATGTCAAGGAGATTTTTGAACTTTCTCCGTTGGAGATGATAATTGCCTTGTGTTTGTGTGACATGATTTTTACTTACCACTTAACAAATCAAGCCTGAAAGTTGCTCAGGTCTGGTTGAATGTTGGCACCGATTGTAGAATAGAACGTTGCAATCACCAGCAAATAGCCCCACATATGATTGACGAAAAGTCATTGGTGTTCGCAACAGAACAGAGTTGGGTCTAGGATGTTGCCTTGAAGAACTGTTGCAGCAATATGCTGGTACTGAGATTATTGACCTCCGATAACGACAGCCATCTTCTTTTCAGCTGGGTATGGTTGCAGCAAGTGTGGCATTTTACTGATTCCCAGTGACTTTAGTTTTGCTAGAGCTGCTTTGTGTCACACCTGGTCAAGTACTGTGTGGATGTTGTGGGCAGCCACTCCCATCTCATTCTGCAGAATTCAACATTTTTGTCCATCTTTGGACCACGTTTGCAATAAGACTGCTGATTGGTCTGGTTGGAACTGAAATTGAGCATTGGTGAGCAGGTTGTTAGTACTAAGTGCTACTTGAATGCAATACTTTAACAATTAAGAGCAGATTGGTGGAATGGTAATTAGAATGTCAAAGTAATTTGTCACCTATGTGTTAAATTTATGAGGGTCCCCTTGTGACTCAGGGGTAGTATCCATACCCCTGCACTGAGAGACCAGGGTTCAAGTCCCACCTGTTGCAGAAATTTGTAATGACATCTTGAACAGATTGATTAGAAAAATAGATTTAATAAAACAAAACCTTAATTTTATGATGGGTCCTCTTGTGGTGCAGTGGTAGTGTCCATACCCCTGGACTGAGGGGCCTGGATTCAAGTCCCACCTCCTTCAGAAGTGTATAATAATATTTCTGAACAGGTTGATTCGAAAAATATAGGTTAATTTTATGATGGAAGTTTTAGTTTCTAACTTGCAAAACTACACCATTTAGAGAGAACAAGATAGATTTGGAAAATGCAAAGGAATTTTGAATCCAGAATGTACTAGCTATAATGTGTCCCAGTATTTTGTACCTGTATAACCCAGATGTGCTGCTGTTCTTGACAGAACAAAAGATTTAACATCAACAAAGATGAGCTGAAATCAACATCGAAGGCCATCGAAACAGTTCACAATTTATGCTGCAATGAAAACAAAGGGGCTTCAGAGTTAGTTGCAGAACTGGGAACCCTCTACCAATGTATTCGGTGAGTCCCACAGGATATGTGTGGGGCCTTGAGGCTCCTCTGTCAGTATATGCAATGAGTGTCATAGGTATGGGACCATCTGTACAACACTGAACCTCTGCCTACTGCCATCCTCTCATCACCATTCTCTAAACAATGCACATCCCCTATTCCATACCTCTCTGCATCATCTCTATGATTCTACATCAAGCTTTCACTCCTCCTCCTTCTGTATGTCCTACCTAACTACAAATACTCGCACTCTATGAAGCACTAAGTTTCTATCCGCAGCCCCATCTTATCAGCTGTATGAAACTGTCATCCCCCCCAAAGCTCTGTATAACTTTAAATCTCAATCCTTCTTTGTATAAAACTGAAAGATCTTTGTTTATGAACTGTTGAGAGACATCTAATGATTGATCTGTAATACAGTGCCCTGGCACGGGAGTATTTGATGAGGGAGTGGAGAGCTTTACTCTTTATTTAAACTTGTGCTGCACACAGCCTAAGGCAGAATATAGTAACATCCATCACTTCGGTTGGTGTGCTGGGCAGTGATCCTTAATGTCTGAGGCACTGGTGGTTTGCTAAGCTTTCTCTTTTTTTTTGTCAGTTACCAGAAATAGCCAGATATATTAAAAAACTGCCAAGATATTCTGGGACTAAAATTTAGTATAGCAATGGGAACTGTTAGAATGGTGATGACAATATGGTCTATCAATCTAAGTGTGAGCAGTTCTTGCCTTTGTATCTTTTGCATCATGACACCTGATTATTTCTTTCTGATTATTAGGTTCCCAGTGGTAGCAATGGGAGTGCTGAAATGGGTTGACTGGACTGTATCAGAGCCCAGCTACTTTCAGTTGCAGACTGACCATACACCTGTTCACCTAGCGCTGCTGGATGAGGTAACTGAAATGAATAAAATCCCCATCCTATATCATTAGGTTAACTTAAGTAATCTTTTGTGTTAGAAGAAAGAAGTTCTTTCCTCATGAAGAAGAACATAATTAAATCTGTTTTTAAATTTATTCAAGGGGTCTGGGCATCACGAGCATGGCAATCCCTAATTGCCCTGGGGAAAGAGGTGGTGAGCTTTCTTGAATAGTTGTAGTCCTTGGGTGTTGGGGCACCCACAGTGCTGTTAGGGTCGAGATCTAGGATTTTGATGCAGTGACATTGAATGACAATGAAGTTCGAAGTCAGGTTGGTGTATGGTTTTGAGAGAAACTTGCAGGTGCTTGTGTTCCCTTGTATCTGTTGGTCTTGTCACCTAGATGGTAGGGATCTTGGGTTTGGAAGGTGCTGTTGGAGGAGCCTTAGTGATATGCACAGACTGCTGCTACTGGATGTCATTGGTGGAGAGAGTGAACGTTTGTGAATATGCTCCCAATCGAGTGGACTGCTTTGCCTGGATGGTGTTAGGCTTTTTAAGTTGACCCTTTCTAGGCAAGATGAGAGTATTACATTACAACTCCTGACTTGTGCCTCATAGGTGTGGACAGGCTTTTGGGTGTTAGGAAATGAGGTACTTACTGCAGGATTCCTAGCCTTCTCACCTGCTGTTATAGACACAGTATTTATATAGTTAGTCCAGTTCAGTTTCTAGTTAATGGTAACTTCCAGCATGTCAGTAGTGGGGAGATTCAGCAATGGTACTGCCATTGAATGTCAAAGGATGATGGCTGGATTCTGGAGATCGTTGGCGATGGTCATTGCCTAGCATTTGTGTGGCATGAATGTTACTTTCTGCTTGTCAGCCTGAATGTTGTCCAGGTCTTGTTGCATATTTGACATGGACTGCTCCAGAATATGAGGAGTTGTGAGTGGTATTGAACATTGATGATTGCACAATGAGCAACTTACTTCTGACATTTTGCTGGAGGGAAGGTAATTGATGGAGCGGCTGAAGATAGTTGGACCTCAGACACTACCCTGAGGAACTAAGAGACTCTTGTTCCTACCGCTGAGCCAGAAGTCCTGGGTTTAAGTCCCACCTGCTCCAGAAGTGTGCAATAACATCTCTGAACCGTTTGATTAAAATGTCTACCCTGAGGAACTCCTACATAGTAGTCCTAGAGCTGAGATGACTGACCTCCAAGAACCTTAGCCATCTTCCTTTGTGCTAGATATGACTCCAAATAGTGGTGCCCTATCTTGCAGATTCCCATTGAGTCCAACTTTGCTCGGGTTCCTTAATGCCACACTCTATTAAATGCTGCCTTGATGTCAAGGGCAGTCACCCTAATTTGCCCTTGAGTTCATTCTGTTGTCTGTGTTTGAGTCAAGGCTGTAATGATGTTGAGAGCTGAGTGTCTCTGACTGAACCAAAACTGGGTGTCAGTGAAGAGTTATTGCTAAGAAAGTGCTGCAAAGCAGGACCGTTAAATGACACCTTCCATCACTTTCCTGATGATCGAGAGTAGATTGGGGCTCTAACTGGCAGGGAATGATTCCTCCTGCTTTCTGTGCTCAGGACATAGGTGGATGTACCTGTAGTGAAACAAGTTCGCTAGTGGTGTGGCTAGATCTGGAGCACAGCCCTTTATTACTTTTGCCAAAATGTCTTCAAGTCCCATAGTGTTTATCCAGAGCCTTAAGCTGTTCCTTGATTTTACATGACATGAATTCAGTTGATTGAAAACTGGCATCTGTGATGCTAGTGACTCAATGCAGCTGACGTGGATTATCCACTTGGCACTTCTGGCCGACAGTTGTTGAGAATACTTCAGCCTTAGCTTTTGCATTGATGGGATGGGCTCCCCCATCGTTGAGGATGGGGTTATTCCTGCCACTGCCTCCTCCAGTCAGTTAACTTGATTATTCGTTGCCATTCACAAATGAATGTGCAGGATTGCAGAGCTTAGACATGATCCGTTGTTTGTGGAATCGCTTAGCCCTGTCTATCACTTGCTTCTTATCCTATTCCTGTTCTGTACCATGGAAGCAGATCATGGCTGGAGCCAGTCATTGCTTTATTATCAGTTCTATCAGTTTAGTTCAGACAGAAAAAGCAAAAGTCACCCAGGTTCCTGCTTCTGATAGCTTTTTACTTCACAACGTGTATAGTGAGTTCAACCTCAGAACCGTAGAAACTAAGAGCAGGAGTAGCCCTTTGAGCCTACTTCGCCATTTAAGATGATCGTAGGTGATCCTCTATCTCACTACCTTTATTCCCTCCTTCTCTGCATATCTCTTGATGCCCTTAAAATCTAAAAAATTATCTGCCTCTTTGTTGAATATATTCAAGGCTTTCACTATGACCCTGAAAATCGAACTTATTGAATGGGTGGCTATTAAGTTGGTAGTTTCACTAATAAGAGGCCAAGAGACGTGGAAACTGAAAATTGACCCATGAGAATAGCCGTGGGATGGAGCAGAGATGCTTTTATTCCTTTTGTACCTAAACTGGAGATGCCTGATATCGACAAGAGGATACTTGAGTTGAAAAGAATTCCTTTCTTTAGTAACATAAACAATGAGACAGCAATTGCAAACTAAACAGCAGTAAATGCCCCACAGTGTATCCTAGAATTGTAGAATCATACTGTACAGAAGATGCTGTTTGGCCCATTGAGTCTGTACCACCAAAAATACATGACTATCTACACTGGTCCCAATCTCTCAGTAAGCCCGTAGCCTTGAATGTTATGACACTTCAGGTGTTCATCCAAGTACTTTTAAAGTGTTGTGAGGTTACCTGCCTCAACGACCTTCCCAGGCCGTGGCATTCCAGATCCTGGGTGGAAAAAACTTTTCCTCAAATCCCCTTTAAACCTTCTGCCTTTCACTTGATTGATTGATTGATTTTATTGTCACGTGTACCTAAGTAAAGCTAAAGTGAAAAGCTTTGTTTATGAGCAGTACAGGCAGATCGTAGTAAGTAAGGACATACAGATCATAGGATGAAAATAAAAACACTTGGACAGAGGCATACAGGTTACATTGCACAGGGCGTGTTCTAAGCAAGATCAACATTAGCAAGATCAGCATTATCTGAAGTTAGAGAGTCCATTCATCAGTCTAATAATAGACCTATTATGTTGACAGGCAAATTGTAGAGGATTGAGACAGGCTGGGAGCTCATGTGGGCCATGACCAGCCTCTTGAAGCACTTCATGATCATGGAGGTCTGAGCCACTGGATGGTAGTCATTAAGTCACGTTGCATGTGCTTCCTTAGGTACTAGGATGATGGTGTGTGCCCCCTTGTTCTTGACCTTTTGATTAAGGGCAACAGCTGCTTTCTGTTCACTCTGTCAATGCCCCTCATAATCTTTTAAAAATCTATGACTCCCCAATCCCCTGACCTTCGCTGCTGCAAACCTGAGCTTATCCAGCCTCTCTTTAAAGCTGAAATGCTCCATCCCAGGTAATGTCCTGTGTAAATGTGTAGCTGTAAGTAAAGTTGCTGGCAGATAGATTCATGGTGGGTTACAGAATTCAGATTTGGTGGAACTAGAACTGTTCTGGGTGTGTTGGGTTAGGAAGTGATGTAAACTAGGTGTATCCTGTCAGCTGTATGTTGCAATTGCACAGCCATCTCGGCACCCAGGGAGTATCATTTAGATCACTCAGGTTGTCCCCTTTTAGATGTCACCTAAAATTCAGGCACAACTGGCTCCAGGGCTGCTGTTAAGAATAGAGACATCAAGGGAACCTTCCAACCCACTGCCCTTGTGTTCTGGGTTACCCTGGGATGGAGTAGTTACTGTGCATACAAATGGCCAAATAAGAACAAGTAGAGGGGACATTTCCAGATACCTTTTGGAACTGTCAGAACTAAATAGTGATCATTTCATTTGGTTACCTCTAGAATTACTGAGCCCATTTGTAACATCACTGTTGCTGTCTCAGTAGAAATCCCCTGACGTGCGATTGACCAATATAGTACCTCTTTGCCATCTGGGGACCTGACCTGCTGTATTGATTATTGTTTTCTAATTAATTTAGGACTGTAATTGTCATTGTTATCCTGTGCTTTTGTGTCTTTCTTCAGATCAGTACCTGTCACCAGCTCCTCCATCCCCAAGTGCTGCAGCTCCTTGTGAAACTGTTTGAGACCGAACATTCCCAGCTTGATGTCATGGAGCAGGTAAACCTTCTGTTGCTTGGGATTGGCAGAGGGCTGTTGGAGACAATTGAAAAACAATACAAAAAAACATGCCAAGCAAATGTCCGTTTGCTTGTTTGTTTTCCTGACAGTTGAACTGGGGTCCTCAGGATGAAGGTAACATTCTGGTGCTGACTAGAAAGCATAGTGTGAACACTGTAGCAGAATTTTAGCTAAGTCTTGTGATCTCAGAAAAGTTTAAGGTTCCATTCTGCATCTATCAAGGGTTCTCCTCTGATTTGTTTTGGACAGTGTTCGCAAGCTGCAAATCCATTGGAAGAATTTATCGTGTTTTTCAGCGCAGTTTGCAGTAATGTGGAGATCCATGTGTGATGTAATGTTGTAGTTTGTGTAAGAATCAAATTCTTCCTGGGACAGTGTGGATAATCTGCTTCTGAAGAAGGGTCTCGACCTGAAACGTCAGCTTTCCTGCTCCTCTGATGCTGCTTGGCCTGCTGTGTTCATCCAGCTCTACACCTTGTTAATCCATAGTTGAGCTTTCTATGCACTATGACAGGTAGAATTTAGAATTCCTGCCTACTTATGCCATATGGTATGTTTGACATGTCCCTTAATAACATAGGGAAATGTTCCTATCTGTGAGAGAGTTCTTGTTTATCCTGTGAGGGCAAGCTATATTTTGGGTTTTTTTTCTAGAACATCTTTGAGTCAGATACAATTAGAATAAAGATTAACACAGCTTCACATGTGGTCTGCTGATTTGCACGGAGGCCCAATGGTTAGGTTTTCTGCCCATTCTCAATAAAGGTTTGCCTCGTATCTACACACAAAATCATATACTGACATCAACCTTTCCCTGATCTTTCCCTTTCCTGTTTCAAGATTTATTTCCATTTCTTCATCCCATGGTAACCCAGTGCACAAGGGCAGTGGGTTGGAAGGTTCCTTTGATGAACAACTCTTAACAGCAACCCTGGAGCCAGCTGTGCCTGAGTTGGTAGCCTCTGAACTACAAGATCGTTAATTCAAGTCCCATTGTAGGGTTTGAATCCATAAGAACCAAGGCTGACAGTGCAGTACTGAAGAAGCATTGCACAGTATCCCTGCATTATTGTAGGGTGGAAACTTCATGATATAACCTTTTAATTAGTGAAGTACTGAGGGAGTATTACACTTTGGAAGTGTCTTCTTTTTGATGCCTTGTTAAACAGAGGCCACTGTTTCCCTGTTGAGGTGGATCTAAAATATCCCACACTGCCTTTCTGATGAAGAACAGAAGTTATCGCTGGTGGCTTGGCCAATATTTATCTTTCAAACACCATCACAAAAAGCAGAACACCTAGTCATTGTCACATTTTTTCAAATAAAAACATGGTGGAGTATTGATGTGATGTTAACACAGCCAAAGCAGAAGCCTTGCACCTTTCTCCTGACCCTGACTTTGACCTGAATATCTGAGTAGTGAGAGTTATGGGTAGATAACTGAATATTTAATACATTTTCTCTGTTGTTGCTATTAGCTGGAGTTGAAGAAGACACTGCTGGACAGGATGGTCCACCTGTTGAGTCGCGGCTATGTCCTTCCTGTGGTCAGCTACATTCGCAAGTGTTTGGAGAAATTGGACACAGATATCTCACTCATCAGATACTTTGTCACAGAGGTTAGCAGCTTGTGCACTGATTTCCTGCAGCTGAGTGCTCAGTGTATGATTGTATGAGGCAGAGACCATAGGTTCTGAGTTTACAAAGTGTGCTGTGCTTCTTTCAAAAGATTTGCCCTTACTGTGCCAATGGTGCTGACTCAGGCAGTTTTGCAGTTCTGTGGACAATACTGCCCTCAGGCACTCCACCAATGTAATATTCTTGTATCAGATAGCGAGTGTTGGGACAGACCGAGTTCTCCTAAGAGTCACCACAGCCAAACCTGCCCTGCGTTCGCTTACCGTGCTGTGCAGCAAGCAGCAGCGAGCCCTGACTGATTGGCATCTCTGCAGAACAGAAGCTTGGACCTTCAGCCCCTTGAGGTGGGATTGCAGGGGGTTGTGCCATATCTGAGGGAGTACATCTTCTCAGGAGCAGGTAGCACAAAATGTAGAAATGTGAGAAACTGCAAAAATGATAGCAACAGATTTCAGGAGGACATAGGCAGGCTGGTGAAGTGAGCAGATTTATGGCAGATGATGCAGACAAGTGTGAAGTGATACATTTTCTAGGATAAATAAATGATTTGGGGCAATATGACCTTACTGCAGCTTTAAATGGGATGCAGAAGAAGAAGCACTTGGGGTTATACATACACCAGCCTTTGAAGGTGGCAGTCAAGTTTATAACCATGTGAAATCCCTGGCTTTATTCTTAGAGGTATATAGTGCTAGGATGTATCAAGTCTTATGGAGTCTTGTGCTCATTTCTGAGGGTCAAGGATGTTCATACTTTGGAGAGGGAGCAGAGGTAATTTCCTATAATAGAAATATTAAACACAATTGCTTTCTTCTGTGCAACATTCAGCTCACTGTCTGTCCTAGTGATAGGACTTCAGTCACATAGACTGGAGAAACAGGGTTTTTCTCCTTAGAACAGCAAAGGTTAAAAAGAGAGTTGACAGAAATATTCAAGATGAATTGTTTTGATAGACTAAGCAGAAGAAACTATTTTTTGTTGGCAAGAGGTCAGTAACCAGAGGGCATGAATCCATAGGATCCCTACAGTGTGGAAACAGGCCCTTTGGCCCAACAAGTCCACACCAACCCTCAGTGCATCCCACCCAGACCCATACCCCTATAACCCACTTAATCTACACACCCCTGTACACTACGGGCAATTTAACCTGGCCAATCCACCTAGCCGGCACATCTTTGGACTGTGGGAGGAAACCGGAGCACCGGGAGGACACCCACGCAGACACTGTGAGAATGTGCAATGAGTTTAGGGTGTTTGACAAATGAACTGGAAACAACATGAAGAAAGTTTTCTTTGCACAGCAAATTGTTATGCACTTAAGTGCACTTATGAAGAGAATGATGGAAGCAGGTTCAAAAGTAATTTTCGAAAGGAAATTAGTGTTTACTTGAAGGGGCATATTTACAGACTTTGAAGAAAGAGCAAGGGAGTGAGACTAATTAGATAACTAACACATGCACAATGCTGAATGACTGCCTTCGTGCTGTATCATTCTTAGATTTTATTGTGTGCTTGCAGGTCCTGGATGTCATTGCTCCTCCATACACATCAGACTTTGTCCACCTTTTTCTCCCAATCTTGGAGAATGACAGCATTGTTGGCACAATAAAAACAGAAGGGGAGTGTGATGCTGTGGCAGAGTTCATTGGTAAGTAGGGAAAAGGTTTAACAGATGTGGGGAGAGAAACTACAAGTACTGGAGATTTGAAGAAATGGAAATGGAAGGTTCTGGAATAGTAGGACCATCCCTAGGCTAACATTCCAGTACAATACTGCACTGTCTTTCCGATATGATATTCAACTGAGCAGGTTTCTGTTTGGAAGAAGAGCAGTTAACTTCTCCCTGTCTCCTGGCCAATATTTAGTTATTTACTCCTCCGCTAACATCAGCTTATCTGGCCATTATCACATTGCTGTTTGTGGGACTTTACGATGTGCAAATTTTTTTATTCTTTCACAGGAGAGGGTGTTGCTGACTAGGATTAACTGTTGCATTGCAGTAGTAACTGTCCCTGACCAGCATCTTGAGGTTATGAAAGGTGCTCTCTAGCTTTTAAGGGACATGGCAGTTCTATTCCATTATACTTCCATAACTCTCTGATATGTATCCATGAATAGCCTGTTCACGGAAGCAGATCTGACTTGAAGCTGAGTGTTCACTGTATTCTGAGGAAGGGTCACCGGACCCGAAACGTTAAGTCTGTTTTGTTCCTTCACAGGTACTGCCAGACCTGCGGAGTTTTTCCAGCAACTTTGTTTTTGTTCACTGTATTGTTGAGTCAAGGCAAATTGGTCTCCTCCTGTTGCATTGACATCATTTCTTGTTGAGTAGTATTTTTGTTTTGTTTGTTCAGTGGGGATAAGTTGAAGTGTAAATTTTCTGCTATGTCTGACGACTTTTGTCCCATTTCTCCTGAATTTGTCGGGTAGACCATTCCCTTCACGCTGGCAAGTGGCCTTGCTCCGTAGATAAGTCTAGACAGTGAGTGTTGTCAGGCCTGTAGCCTTGGCCTTATATAATATTTACAATATTGTACAAAATGTGCGCTCTTCAGCAATGATGACGAGATACACCCACCCGCCAAGCTGTCCAAGTTGCTGTGATGTCAGATAGACTATGAAATCCCTTCTCCGAAGGATAAGAGAGCAGATACAAGGGGCTGAATGGCCTCCTATACTGCGTTATTCCATGATCCGCCACAGATCTGGGAGAACTATGGCCTGCTAGCCACATCGAGCCTGCTGGAGCTTCGGATCCAGCCTGCGACTGCACCAGGACATCCAAGGGAAGTACTTGAAGGTAAGTTGGAGTTGAACAGCAATTGGAAATGTGCATTTCTTGGAGAATACATGTAAGTGCCACGTGAAGAGTGGTGAGCACAAGGTAAATGTTCATTGGAGATTATTTTTAGGCTCCAGCAGTTTTGATTTGAATTTTGGTTTTACAAGCGTACACGGACAGTAATTTCAAAACTCAATTTATTTTTCACTTCAGTTTTAATACTCTTCACGTAAAAGCAAGTCAACTCTTAATTTTTTGACCCATTTATCTTATTCCCTCACGCGCTGATTGCTGGTACCATGGGTGCTGACAGTCCAAAATTTCATTCTGAAACTTTCAGGTCTGCCTTGGCAAAGTATTACACTGAAGAGTGCCTTTCCCGACTAGAGTGTTTATGCATCAGGAATCTATTAAAAATCTTGCTTTTATGTGTACATCCTGTCAATTTTTTCACATGAGCTGCAAACCTTTGGATTCAACAATATAAACATGACTCACTATATCATACGCCTCTCCTTTGGGAGTGATTAACCAGGAATTGTGCATCCTCTGGATGAAAGCAGTATCACAGCACCACAAGACTGTGTTGTGGTGGGGTAATTGGTGGCTTTGGCACAGTGGTGAGAGAGGGCCATGCACAGAAAGGTGGCAGCCTCCTGACAGTCTGAAAAGGCAGTGGCAGTTGACACCATTCCTCCCAGCGATCGGAGGCGGATGCGGTTCCCCCGGGTTTGTCTCTGTGATTGGAGGTGGCGGCTGCATGGTATTGGCAGCATGAACAAGCCATGCATGGAATAGCGGCAGTGGCAGCAAGGATGCAGCTCCTCCCGCCGTTTGGGGAAGGTGGCAAAGCTCCTCCAGTGATTGGAGGTGGCAGCAGCAAGAACGTGGCTCCTCCTGGTGATTGATGCGAGACTCAGTCTGACTGAGACTTAAAGCCGTGGCTAGGTTTGGGTGCTTGCATTGGTGGTTCCAAACACCTTTATGGAGTTAAGACCTAGACTTTAAGATCTGGACGTTCTTGTTTTGGCTTTCTTTTATTTCTGCTGATTTTTTAAATTCTGGTTTTGTAACCAAGATGGCACCAGAGAATGGCGACATTGTACACTTCTCAATGTACTTGTGTATTCCTATACTTGGGTACACGTGACAATAAATCTAATTCTAATTCTATAATGGTATAGCTTATTATAGTGCCAGAAATGGGAAGATCAAAGCTGGAATTGTTCTGCTTACTGCAGAGAAAGTTAAGTGGGGACTTGCTAGAGATGTTCAAAATTGTGAAAAGTATTGATTAGGTAGATGGGGAAAACTGTTTCTGGGGCAGAAGAGTCAGTATTCAGACAACTCAGATTTAAAGTAGTTGGTGAAAGAAGCAGAGAAAAACCGATTTATAGACCCAGGAAAACCTAGATCTACATTTCCAAGTGGAGCAAAGATTAAAATATCACAACATAAATACAGTGAGTTGCAAAATGTTTGACTGAAGGTCTCCATGAGTAGACTTGGCTCAACAATTTGAGATGAGCATCTAATTGCTTAGTTGTTTATGTTCTTCTGCAACTTAAGTTTGAAAAAATCTTCTGTTCTTGCCACAGATGAAGTTATAATTAAGACTTTTAGAACAAGAATGATGAATTTATTAGTAAGTGAAGAGTGTTTAGTTTTAGGATAAGTTGTTGTATTTTGTGAACATTTAAGCGTAGGAATGTTTTCTTTACAAATTAAAAATTGATAACCTCCCAAATTATTGTGAAAGAAGTGTTATTACATCCCAGCTCCAGGAATGAGTTAGCAGGAAGTTGAAGAGCACTGTATGTATCAAAACCCAAGTGGTGACTCTCTATGCAATACCTTTTGACTTTTGCTCTTGGTGGTTCTAGCACTAATTCATTGTAGATCGCAGTAAAAGCAGCTTTGAAGTTGGCAAGACAAGAAAAATGTTGCCTGTGATGGGAAACTAAAATAAAAACAGAAAATGCTGGAAATGATAAGTATATCGGGTGGCTTCCATGGAGAGAGAAAACCTGACACCAGATTTTGAGACCACAATGAAGTGGATTGACCAACTGCATTATTCACATTTAAGCCAAGAGAATGTGTAAAAGAGGGTTTGGTTTAGTTTGGTTTTCTTATTCTGTGTAAAGCATTGTTAGTGACAGTATAAGTATAATTATAATAGTAAAGGTTTATGTTTATTTGTAGCACAATCTATCTTTATTGCAATTGTGTCTTTCTTGAATGTTTGACGGCTACGACCAGTAAAATTTCCAGGTGGCCTTCTGGCTGAAAAGTTTCTCTGCCCCAATCTACCATAGAACACCCTTGAGATGCATGTGTTCAATTCAGCACATTGTGGAGTACTGGGGCTTGGCTTTCTTGTGATATGTTCACTCAGTGAAATGATGACCTCAGCCAACCGATCCAAGGGGACATTATGCATGAGGTCAGGTCAGGGCTCACATTTCTTAATGGCTGGGTGAAAACAGGATTGCCTTTGATTTTGGGGACAGTTCCCTAGATTGTTTCTCCCTGTTTGGAGGGATGAAGGTGGGTGGGTCAATAATGTTAAGTACGTGTAAACACTGAATTACAAGTTCTGTGTAATGTACTTCCAGCACACTGCAAATCCAATTTCATCATGATGAACTAGCACTGTGAGCGAGACACCGGAATGGTGCCAGGAGCAGCGAACAACCTCATCCTGACCAACAACAAGACAAGAGAGACATTTGAGCAGTAAGACTGATTGGAAATGGTGGAATATCTGCAGAATCCCTGTGGCATTTGGCCATGCTATAAAGCTGATACAGGAATTATTGAATGAGAGCCATTAGCAATCTGCAAGAGAAATAATGGATTTATATATTTTTACATAATTAACAGTTAAAGAAGAAATGTAGAAACATCTTTTGTGTTTTTTTTTCCTTAAAATGGGTCTCAAAATTTTACAGTACTTGGAAGTGGTGTGGTCAAAATAAATATTTGGGCCTGCCTTGTTTTCATGAATGACTTGACTTAAAGTTTTTATTTGTATGTGTTCTTTTTTTCATGTTTTTTCTCATGTTCAGTTTGGGCTGCTAATACAAACTGTGTTCTTCCAAGTGTCCCTAACGAACGATAACAGAATACTGGTTGTGCAGCTTCACTATAATTGTTCTCCAGTACAAAATACATTAGAGCCCATTAGCAGCATCCACTATAACAGGAATTCTGACACCAGTGACAAAGGCATCTCCGGGCAGCATGGTAGCTCAGTGGTTAACACTGATGTCTCACAGCACCAGAGTCCCATGTTCGATACCACCCTTGGGTGTCTGTCTGTGTGGAGTTCGCACATTCTCCCTGTGTCTGCTTGGGTTTCCTCCGAGTGCTCTGGTTTCCTCCCACATTCCAAAGATGTGCAGGTTAGGTGGATTGGCCATGCTAAATTGCCTATGGTGTCCAGGCATGTGCAGACTGTGATTTAGCCAGGGGAAAAGCAGGGTTGCAGGGCTAGGGAGGGCGGGTTGGGATAGATCTGGGTGGGATGCCCTTTGGAGGGTCGGTGTGGGCTTTGGGTCGAAAAGCCTGCTTCCACACTCTAGGGATTCTATGACATATGATTCTGTTACCTTTAATATCTCATTTGCAGGCCCTAACCATTTCCAGTCAGATTACGTTAATATGAAAAAAGCCTGGAAAAATGTTAAGTCAAGAAAAGGAGGAACTGTCTTTTTATTGCTGAGATAAAAACAAATCAGTACAACCCCACTTTTTTCTCCTGCCCGCTCACCGTAGCCCTTCAACCCATTACTAATTTAAAAATCTCTCTATCTCCTCCTCAAATTTACTCAATGTCCTAGCACACACCATCCTCTGGAGTAGTGAACCATAGATTTATGGCTCTTTGGGAGAAACAGTTTCACCTCATCTGTTTTAAATCTGATACCTCTAATCCTAAACCAATGACCCCTCTCATTCTAGATTGCCCTACATGAGGAAGCGTTCTGTTTACATCTACATTTCAGTCCCCATTAGCATCCTATGTACTGCAATTGGATCTCCTCTCATTCTTCTAAACATTAGAGAGTATTCAGAGTATAGGCCTAAACTGCTCAATCTCTCTTCAGAAAACAAACCCCTCATCTCTGGAATCAATCTGGAACCTCTGAATTCCCTTCCAATTCAACTACATTGCTTGTCAAGTAAGGGAACTGAAACTGTACACAATACTAATTAATGTCTTGTACAGATGAGCACCTCTGTACTTTTCTACTTCACTCCTTTAGCAATAAATGCTAAAATTCCATTTGCTTTCCTTGTTACTGCTGTACCTGCTTACTAGTTTTCTGTGATTCATGCATGAGGACACCCAGATCCCTCTGCACTGAAGCACTCTGAAATTTCTCTCTATCTATATCATGTGACCTTTCTCTCTCTCTGACCAAATTGGATAACCTCACACTTATCCATGTTAAACATCATCTGCAATTTTGGTCCATTCACCTAATGTATGCGTATCCATTGGTAAATTTCTTGTTTCTAAATTACAACGTACTTGCCCACCTATTCTGGTGTCATCTGCAAATTTGGCTATAGTACTTTCTGTCGCTGCATCCGAGTCATTAATATAGATTGTAAATAGTTGGGGCCCTAAGGACTGAGCCCTAGATATGTCTTGTCAATCAGAAAAAGACCCATTTATCCTGACTTTGTTGTTTCAGCGGCGGGAGTCCGGGAGGAAGCGCGAGGGCAGCCTGGGAAGGTGAGCTTTTCGGTTATAAAAGTCTTACCTCGCGTGACTGCGGCCTTTCAGTTGTTTCAGCGGCGGGAGTCCGGGAGGAAGCGCGAGAGCAGCCTGGGAAGGTGAGCTTTTCGGTTATAAAAGTCTTACCTCGCGTGACTCCATTTTTGGAGTAAGTGAGGTAATATATTTGGGCTGTTGCTTTACCCGAAACACTACCTAGGTAGTGTCTCCCACCCATCCTCCTCCTCTAACCAAAAAAAAGGTTCTGAGCGCTGATTTGGTAAGGCTACTAGTATATTTTTTTTTAATTTGTCTGTTTGGGAATTCAGAACAGTGGGAAGGGATGTTAGGGCAGTTGTATGCTCCTCCTGTAGAATGTGGGAGGTAAGGGTCACCACTAGTGTCCCCACTGACTTCATCTGCGGGAAGTGCACCCAACTCCAGCTCCTCGGAACTGTGTTAGGGAACTGGAGCTGGAGCTGGATGAACTTCGGATCATTCGGGAGGCTGAGGGGGTAATTGAGAGGAGTTACGGGGAGGTAGTCACACCTCAGGTACAGGAAAAAAGTAGATGGGTTACAGTCAGGGGACGGAAAGGGAACAGGCAGACAGTGCAGGAATCCCCTGTGGCCATTCCCCTCAAAAACAAGTATACCGTTTTGGATACTGTTGGGGGGGATGACTTACCAGGGGTAAGCCATGGGGTACAGGTCTCTGGCACAGAGTCTGTCCCTGTTGCTCAGAAGGGAAGGGGGGAGAGGAGGAGAGCATTAGTCATTGGGGACTCCATAGTTAGGGGGACAGATAGGAGATTCTGTGGGAACGAGAGAGACTCGCGGTTGGTGTGTTGCCTCCCAGGTGCCAGGGTCCATGATGTCTCGGATTGTGTTTTCGGGATCCTTAAGGGGGAGGGGGAGCAGCCCCAAGTCGTGGTCCACATAGGCACCAACGACATAGGTAGGAAAAGGGATGGGGACGTAAGGCAGAAATTCAAGGAGCTAGGGTGGAAGCTTAGAGCTAGAACAAACGGAGTTGTTATCTCTGGTTTGTTACCCGTGCCACGTGCTAGCGAGGCGAGGAATAGGGAGAGAGAGCAGTTGAACACGTGGCTACAGGGATGGTGCAGGAGGGAGGGATTCAGATACCTGGATAATTGGGGCTCATTCTGGGGTAGATGGGACCTCTACAAACGGGATGGTCTACACCTGAACCAGAGGGGTACCAATATCCTGGGGGGGAAATTCGCTAATGCTCTTCGGGAGGGTTTAAACTAATTCAACAGGGGGTGGGAACCTGAATTGTAGCTCCAGTGTACAGGAGGTTGAGAGTAGTGAGGTCATAAATAAGGTTTCAAGGTTGCAGGAGTGTACCGGCAGGCAGGAAGGTGGTTTGAAGTGTGTCTACTTCAATGCCAGGAGCATCCGGAATAAGGTGGGTGAACTTGCAGCATGGGTTGGTACCTGGGACTTCGATGTTGTGGCCATTTCGGAGACATGGATAGAGCAGGGACAGGAATGGTTGTTGCAGGTTCCGGGGTTTAGATGTTTCAGTAAGATCAGGGAAGGTGGTAAAAGAAGGGGAGGTGTGGCATTGTTAGTCAAGGACAGTATTACGGTGGCAGAAAGGACGTTTGATGACAACTCGTCTACTGAGGTAGTATGGGCTGAGGTTAGAACCAGGAAAGGAGAGGTCACCCTGTTGGGAGTTTTCTATAGGCCTCCGAAAAGTTCCAGAGATGTAGAGGAAAAGATTGCAAAGATGATTCTGGATAGGAGCGAAAGTAACAGGGTAGTTGTTATGGGGGACTTTAACTTTCCAAATATTGACTGGAAACGCTATAGTTCGAGTACTTCAGATGGGTCAGTTTTTGTCCAATGTGTGCAGGAGGGTTTCCTGACACAGTATGTAGATAGGCCAACAAGAGGCGAGGCCACATTGGATTTGGTACTGGGTAATGAACCAGGCCAGGTGTTAGATTTGGAGGTAGGAGAGCACTTTGGTGATAGTGACCACAATTCGGTTACGTTTACTTTAGCGATGGAAAGGGATCGGTATATAAAGCAGGGCAAGAGTTATAGCTGGGGGAAAGGCAACTATGAGGCGATGAGGCAAGATTTAGGATGCATAGGATGGAGAAGGAAACTGCAGGGGCTGGGCACAATTGAAATGTGGAGCTTGTTCAAGGAACAGCTACTGCGTGTCCTTGAGAAGTATGTACCTGTCAGGCAGGGAAGAAGTGGTCGAGTGAGGGAACCGTGGTTTACTAAAGAAGTTGAATTTCTTGTCAAGAGGAAGAAGGAGGCTTATGTCGAGATGAGGCATGAAGGCTCAGTTAGGGCGCTTGAGAGTACAAGTTAGCCAGGAAGGACCTAAAGAGAGAGCTAAGAAGAACCAGGAGGGGACATGAGAAGTCTTTAGCAGGTAGGATCAAGGAAAACCCTAAAGCTTTCTATAGGTATGTCAGGAATAAAAGAATGACTGGAGTAAGATTGGGGCCGGTCAAGGACAGTAGTGGGAAGTTGTGCGTGGAGTCCGAAGAGATAGGAGAGGTGCTAAATGAATATTTTTCGTCAGTATTCACACAGGAAAAAGACAATGTAGTCGAGGAGAATACTGAGATACAGGCTATTAGACTAGACGGGATTGAGGTTCATAAGGAGGAGGTGTTAGCAATTCTGGAAGGTGTGAAAATAGATAAGTCCCCTGGGCCGGATGGGATTTATCCTAGAAGTCTCTGGGAAGCTAGAGAGGAGATTGCAGAGCCTTTGGCTTTGATCTTTATGTCGTCATTGTCTTCAGGAATAGTGCCAGAAGACTGGAGACTAGCAAATGTTGTCCCCTTGTTCAAGAAGGGGAGTAGAGACAACCCTGGTAATTATAGACCAGTGAGCCTTACTTCGGTTGTGGGTAAAGTGTTGGAAAGGATTATAAGAGATAGGATTTATAATCATCTAGAAAGGAATGATTTGATTAGGGATAGTCAACACGGTTTTGTGAAGGGTAGGTCGTGCCTCACAAACCTTATTGAGTTCTTCGAGAAGGTGACCAAACAGGTGGATGAGGGTAAAGCGGTTGATGTGGTGTATTTGGATTTCAGTAAAGCGTTTGATAAGGTTCCCCATGGTAGGCTATTGCAGAAAATACGGAGGCATGGGATTGAGGGTGATTTAGCGGTTTGGATCAGAAATTGGCTAGCTGTAAGAAGACAGAGGGTGGTGGTTGATGGGAAATGTTCATCCTGGAGTTCAGTTACTAGTGGTGTACCTCAAGGATCTGTTTTGGGGCCACTGCTGTTTGTCATTTTTATAAATGACCTGGATGAGGGCGTAGAAGGATGGGTTAGTAAATTTGCGGATGACACCAAAGTCGGTGGAGTTGTGGATAGTGCAGAAGGATGTTGTAGGTTACAGAGGGACATAGATAAGCTGCAGAGCTGGGCTGAGAGGTGGCAAATGGAGTTTAATGCGGAAAAGTGTGAGGTGATTCACTTTGGAAGGAGTAACAGGAATACAGGGCTAATGGTAAGAATCTTGGTAGTGTGGATGAGCAGAAAGATCTCGGTGTCCATGTGCATAGATCACTGAAAGTTGCCACCCAGGTTGATAGCGTTGTTAAGAAGGCGTACAGTATGTTAGGTTTTATTGGTAGAGGGATTGAGTTTCGGAGCCATGAGGTCATGTTGCAGCTGTACAAAACTCTGGTGCGGCCGCACTTGGAGTATTGCGTACAGTTCTGGTCACCGCATTACAGGAAGGATGTGGAAGCATTGGAAAGGGTGCAGAGGAGATTTACCAGGATGTTGCCTGGTATGGAGGGAAGGTCTTATGAAGAAAGGCTGAGGGTTTTGAGGCTGTTTTCGTTAGAGAGAAGAAGGTTAAGAGGTGACTTGATAGAGACATACAAGATCATCAGAGGATTAGATAGGGTGGACAGTGGGAGCCTTTTTCCTCGGATGGTGATGGCTAGCACGAGGGGACATAGCTTTAAGTTGAGGGGTGATAGATATAGGACAGATGTCAGAGGTAGGTTCTTTACTCAGAGAGTAGTAAGGGCGTGGAATGCCCTGCCTGCAAAAATAGTAGACTCGCCCACTTTAAGGGCATTTAAATGGTCATTGGATAAACATATGGATGATAATGGAATAGTTTAGGTTAGATGGGCTTCAGATTGGTTTCACAGGTCGGCGCAACATCGAGGGCCGAAGGGCCTGTACTGCGCTGTAATGTTCTGTGTTCTGTGTTCTATGACTATCTGCTATCTGTTGGTTAGTCAATCCTCTATCCAAGCTAATAAATTACCCCTAACTCCATGTGATCTTACCTTGTGTTTTAACCTTCTGTGCAGCATCTTATAAAATGCCTTCTGGAAGTTCAGATATAAAACATCTAAAGGATCTCCATTATTCATTTTGCTTGCTATATCTTCAAGTAACTAGCAAATTAGTCAAATATGATATATCCTTCATAAAACTGCTGACTGTTGACTGTATTTTGACTTTCCACATGTTTTGTTACTTCCTTGATAATGGATTTTAACAATTGCTCAGTGACAATGTAAAACTAACTGGTCTGTTGTTTCCTATTTTCTGCCTCCCTCCCTTTTTGAATAAGGTTGTTATAGTAACATTTTTCCAAACCACTGGATCCTTTCTTGTGTCCAGGGAATTTTGGAATATTATAACCAATAGATCCACTATTTCTGCTGCCACGACCTTTACAATCCTAGAATGTAGGTCATCAGACCTTGGGGACTTTTTTGCCTTCAATTCCAATAGTTTACTCGGTCCTTTTTCCCTACTGATGATTGTTCCAGGTTCCTCCATTTCTGTAACCTCTGCATTACTTGTTAACTGTCGGGATAATACTTCTGTCCTCCACTGTGAAAACTGAAGCAAAATATTAGTTTAGTGACCTACCATTTCAGTGTTCCCAACTATTAACTCCACAGTCTCATCCTCCAAGGAGTCAACATTCACTTTAGCTACTCTCTTCCCTCTTCTATACTTACAAAAGCTTTTGCTATCTGTTTTTAATTTTGCACTAGTTTTCTTTCATAATTTATCTTTGCTCTTTTTGTGACATTTTTAATAACCCTTTGATGTTTAAAAGTTTTGTAGTCTTCCAGTCTGCCATTCACCTTTTCAATATGATATGCCTTAGTTTTTGTCTTATTATCTTTAACATCCTTGCTTAGCCATAGATGTTTACTCCCCTCTTTGAATCTTTCTTTCTTTCTGGAATGTGTTTAGTTTAGAATTGAGTATCTCCTTAAACAACTGCCACAGTTCATCAACTATCCCACCTTTTAGTCTTCCTGCTCAGTCTACTAGGGCTAGATCTGTTCTCATGTCTATGTAATTACCTTTGCTTAACTCCAGAACGTTAATTTGGGACTCCAGTTTCTTCCTCTCCAACTGAATTTGAAATTCTAGTATGCTACAATCAGTCTCCACTCGAGGATCCTTTACTATGAGATCATAAATTAATCCCAGCTCATTACACCATACCAAATGCTGAATAGCTTGTTCGCTGGTTGGTTCCCCAACATATTCCTCCAAGAAAAAAATATAATGTACTTACCCTTGCCACTTTGATTATTTTAGTCTATATGCATATTAAAATCCCCAATTATTATTGCTGTACCTTCTTTACAATCCCCAGTATTTCTTGAAATACAGTGTGCCACACTGCAGGACAACTGTTAAGGGACTTATTGATTACTCCTACCAGAGAATTCTTTCCTTGGCTGTTTATTTCTACCCATCATCATCGTGCTGTGATTTATCTTATTTAATCAATGAGGTGTGGGCTAGCATTAATCCCAGAAGGTGGTTAAAATATAGTGGTGTGGAGTCAAATAAAGGCCAGACCAGGTAAAAGTGACAGATTTTCTGCCGTAAGGACAAAAGTGAGCTAATTTGTTTTTACAACAGTGCTTACGTGGTCACCCATCAGATGAGCTTTTTTTCTCCAGAATTTGTTTTAAATCGAATTCTGATTTCACTATCTGTCATGGTGGGGTTTGAACTGTTGTTCACAGAACATGAGCCTGGGGTTCTGGATTACTAGTCCATTGACATCACTACAATATCATTGCCTGTGGGCCAGGATGATGCAGATAGAGCAGTTTGGGAGATTGAGTGATAGCCATGCTCAGGGAATCACTCTTTGTCAGGGTCTTGCTAATATTTAAGTTCTCCCAACTTTGACATAAGTCCCCGAATGTTACTGAGGAGGAGATTGCAAAGTTGACTGGATTTGTTATGTTTGTATCGTGTCTAAAAGACATGTCAAAAGAGTGGTCTTTCTGCTTTTTGTTTTTAGTAAATATATGACAAAACTAATGCAACACATCAGTTAGGAAGTTACAGTCCATGCCAGTCTGCTTAATCTAGAAAATAACACACAGATGATAACTTAATGTAGAAGCATCTCAAAAGCTTAGAAGATGAGCAACAGCCAGGACCACCATAACCTACCACTCAAAGATGCATTGTGTGATCATTAAAGGCTAACCTGTATAGTCGAAACACACAGTGATATACTAAATATAGACCTAAATCAGCAAAATTCACATGTAATTCTTTTGATGGGGTATTATTAAGTGAAGCCCAGCTAATTATGGCATGTTGTGCCACTTACAGTCCTGATGATTTAGATTTTGTTGATGGTTGTATAAGAAACCATTAAGCTTAATAGCGCTGCTACCTCCATTGCAGTTCCAGTTAATAATCCAGTTCCATTGATAAGTAATATTTTCAAGTGACTTATTCTGTGTCATATCTGGTAGATAGATAGGTTGAATTACACTCTGGTCTTTCTGCTGATTTGATTTGACTGGGTCAACAATTGTCATCTTGGGTTCAGCTTACCTTGACATCTATAGCAAGGTTTCTCAAACTGGGTATCGTTAGAGATTAGATGTTGGGATCGGGGGCTCTGAAGCAGAAATGGCTGCTGTAGAGCTCTGATTGATAGTGACAGCTGCGTGAGCCTTTTAATATGCTGTTGTTTTTCATAACAGAGGGTGTAACGTTGATGGACTGCTCCTTCCTGCTGTATGCCTACCTAAAAGGTAGGTGTTCATTTTGCCTGATTTTTCATCAACTTGCTCAAAGGGTAGATGAGGGGACGGTGGGAGGAATTGTGGGAAAGGCGGTGACGTGAGAGAGTGGTGAAGGGAGAGAGGGGTTAAGATGAGGCAGTGGTGAAAGGAGGGAGAAGAGCAAAGTGAGCACCACCCATTCCACTCAAACTATTCATGCTGCCAAATTTTCACCCTGGATCTCTGTCTGAGGAATGAAAATGGGGTCACACCAGCATAAAGGTTTGGGAAACACTGGTCTAGAGTAAATCAACCAGGCTATGGATAAATTCACTTGAAGTAGATTCTGAAGTACTCTCTCAGTTCATATATTTTAGGAAGTGTTCAGATAATTGTATTTACAAACCAAATGTGGAGATTATTCAAAATGATATTTCTGTTGAACTGGGACCTTTTGCGAGAAAATGGTGTTTGTTTTATAAGTGTCTTGGACTTGAGTACAAAAAAGAGTGATTCTCAAGGTTTTTTTAATTCAAGTTGTGATTTTAATCTCTTGGAACCAAATATTATTCTCTTCTTTTTCCTGTTATATAGTTACACCTTTGTTCAAAATAAAATCACGTGTCAATTCAGTTATCTTTGAGGCACAGAATGTAAACTAATTTGTGTATCTCAGTGATTTACATTTTAGTTTAGCACTTTAAGAAGAAATATGTTTTAAAAATTCCATTCCTAAGAAGAGTAAGTGTGCGGTGAAACCTGTACACCACTATGGGCTAGGGTCTCCATGGGTGTGGTCCTCTTCGATTGCTAGATTGTAGGAGTTTCCTTTTTCACCCATGTGGGCACTGGTGACATAGAAACATAGAATATAAGAGCAGGAGTAGGCTCTTTGAGCCTGCTCTGCTATGCAATATGATTATGACTGATCATCTATTTCAGTGCTCTGCTCTCATCCTCTCCCTGTATAGTTTGATCCCTTTATTCCTAAGAACTGTACCTACATCTTTCTTGAAGGTCTCCAGCGTTTTGGCCTCAACAGTTTCCTGTGGCAGTGCATTCCACAGGCTCACCACTGTCTAGGTGAGTAATTCCTCCCCATCTTTGTTCTAAATGGCTTACCCTTATTCTTAGACATTGACACTTGATTCTGGTCATTGAGAATGTCCTTCATGCATTACCATGTCTAATCTTGTTAGAATTTTACAGGTTTCTATGAGATTCTGTCTCATTATTCTAAAACTCCAGTGAATATGGTCTTTACCAATTCTGTCTCTTTCTGTACATCAGACTCGCCATCCCAGGAATCAGGCTAGTAAACCTTCTTTGCACTCCCTCACTAGCTAAAACTTCCTTCCTCAGATAAGGAGAACAAATCTGCACATAATACTCTAGATGTGGTCTTTACCAATGTCCTGTACAGTTGCAGCAAGACGTTCCTCCTGCTTTTCTCAAATTCTCTTGCTAAGAAGGCCAACATACCATTTGCCTTCCTCACCACCTGCCGCACCTGTATGCTTACTTTGATGACTGACGTATGATGGACGCCTAAGTCTTGTTGCACCTCCTCCTTTCCCAATCTATTGCTATTCAGATAATAATCAGTTGGCTGTTTTTGATTCCAAAATGTTTAACCTCGCATTTACCACATTAAATTGCACCTGCAATGTGTTTGCCCACTTACTTGTCAAAATCACAGAGGTTTTTCTACTTCTCACAACATATCATTCCGCTCAGATTTGTGTCACCTGCAAACTTGGAGATATGACATGTAGTTTCCTCATCTAAATTGTTAATATATATTGTGAATAGCTGGGGCCCAAGCACTGATCACTGTGGTATCAGTCTCATCACTGTCTGAAATTCAGAAAAGGAGCAATTTGTTCCAAGATCCATGTTGACAGTGGCAGAATAGGACTGCTGAGCCAGAGCTCGTCCTCTCTGTCTGTTTCTTTTCTCTTTTCATGTTTTTTCTCTTTTTTTTTCCTTACCTCCCATCCTTGGGTGGCATTGGCGATGTCCAGGGTGAAGCCTGCGCAGACTCCTGGCCCTGAGAGCCTTGAATGAAGCCAGTGCGGAGACCAGGCCTCCGCACGGGCAGCGGCCGGG